TTTCTTTAATTCTGTTAGATCTGGCTTTAATTTGATCTCTTTTTCCTGAATTCACATAATTTACTGATTGCTTTATTTCCTTTAGACCTACTGTGATGAACCGGGATAGCCCCCCCCCCTGGCCTCGTTGGGAATAACTGGTACAGAAAATGGCTGGATGGATGAACATGAGTCCCTCCCAGAGCGTGCTTGTTTCTCTGGGGATCTTCTGGCTGCACACCTGAGAGCAGATCCGGAACACAACAGGTGAGTCTGACACACAAAGTCATGCACTTCCTTTGACCTAGTTCTAGAGCTGCCCTCCAAACACAGCAGCGTGTGACTGTTTGCCAGCGTGCACCTCTTTCTAATCATTCCTCAGTGTGTACTGCTGTAGAGACACTGCCCTCACCCTAAACCTAACCACCTGACCACCATCAGTCACTCACAAACAGCCATAAATGTTCTGTCCTGATCATGCATTCAGCAGTGCTTCTTTTATCCAAACATGCATTTGACTTCTGACATGTACACATGATTGTGCCTGGTGCAAACATGTCTAATACAGTGTTTTTCCTGTTGTGTGTTGTCTCTTACAGTGCAGTTTGGTCAGTGGCACAGCTGTGATAGGGATTACTCACAAAGTCCTCTTTAATACAAACCTCCTGGACTACTTCCCATTCAACGTATTTCTTTAATAAAGGAAAACATTCCATCATTCCCAGTATGAAGACAATGCCATTAAAGGTCTTCTTGTCCTTAAGCAGGGGACATAATCTGTGTCTGGCTTGCAGAATGCGTTCAGGATCTGGGCTGCTGCTCAGAGCGTGCACAGGCCACAGTAGATGAAATGAATCACACTCAAAAACAAATATCCACCATCATTAATCTCCTCTGCTTCTGAGAATATTCAAGGTACCATTTTCATGAAACTTGATCCTCAGAGTGCTTAGGGCTTAGTTCAGATCAAAAAGAGGGATAAGGGGAAGGCTTCCTTTAATACCCTGCTGAGCCACTTTGAATTCAAAGTAAACACAAGAAACCTTTTCTATGAAACAAGTGGACCAGACTAGCAGTAAATGAGATCTTCTCCAGCACACCTGATATTGCCTGCCTCCAGGTCTTGTTTTTTGCCCCCGGCCTCTTAATTCTAGCGTTCAGCTCCATGTTTTAGACACGTTCAACTAAATGGGTATAATATTATATTATATCACTGACTGCTGCACACCTTTATTACGCTGAAACACAGCAGATGGGTGGGGTCTGTTATTGTTGGGTCCTGCTGTGTTCCAGAGCTTCTGCCTCTGTCTGTTGCAGCCTCTGGCCTGCAGGCAGCGGGACCCCCGGCAGGTTCAGGCAGAGGGGTTTCTGCTGGGGGGCTTTTTTGCAACCCCTCACATTTGGAACCAGAGCCAGACATTGGAGGCTGTTTTAAAATCCGTTCTTCTGGCTCTGACTGGAGCTCAGACACGCCTCAGGTGAGAATTCTCTGGAGGTTGAAGCTAAAATGTGCTCAAATGGCCGCAGATAACTGGAATTAATCACCGGACAGTAAATGAACCGTTAGCGGCACTTCCTGTCAGGCACGGTGTGACAGATGTCTGTGGGTCCTTGAATGCATCACGGACGCATTGTGAAAGCGGCACTGACGCACACGGACTGCACACTTTCACTTCCGCCGGCCTCCCGGCTGCTGTCGGGTTCCCAGAGGGACGGACGGGTTCTGGGGCCGTTCCTGTGGGGTCCGGTTGCTGTGAGATGAGGCCGGGGGTCAGCTGCAGGCGTCCGCGGGCAGGAGGGGACCAGCTGTCCGGGCTCCGGGTCCGGGTCTCTCTCAGCGCGGTGGGTGTGGAAACAGCCGGGGGTGCGCGCACACGCACAGAGGTGGCAGCAGATCGGAACCACGGATCCGGGTTCTCACCGGTTTTTGAACAGCTTGAAAAGTTCAGTTTAGGAAACTGGACGTGAAGTTTTCTAGAAGACATTTGGCTTTATCAGCTCTAACTGATGGTGGGGAGCTCTGAGATGAATATATTTGGTTGTAACTAAAGAATTAGGGGAAAAACCAAAGGTGGCTCTGATCCCTCCCACTGGATGGGTCGTGGAGGTCCCCTGGGGGGGTTAATGGTGCTTAGGGGGCTCTGATGGGTCGGTAACTCCCTGTCAGAGTGGTTTTGGTCACATGGCTCTGAGGTGTGAGTCAGGTGGGGGCAGCTGAGCTGAATCTGCTGGCTGTATCATGGGTTCTCCAGGTTCACAGAGATGGCTTCCTGAACCCCTCTCAGACCAGTTGTCTTCCCTGGCCAAACTGGACGTTGTTGTCCTTCAGCCTTCAGGTGGAGGCGACCGGCTGAGTCCTGTCCTCCTGAGGAGCTGGTCCTCCTGTTGAGCCACGCCCGGTGTAGCGGCTGTTTGGTTTGTCCAGTGTACAGCTCTGAGCACGCTTCACTACCCTGAACGGCGTAAACCACGTTGTCGGCTTGTTTCTGGGCGTCTTGTCTTTGGGGTGAACCAGTTTTTGTCTCAGGGTGTTACTGGGTTTGAAGTGCACAGGGATCCGGTGCTGGTTGAAGATCCCCCTGAGTTTTAGTGGGTGGTGGGAGTCAAAAGGGGGGTTCTGGTCAGTGTGTGGGGGTTTCCCGTAGACTTCTATGTTGAGTTTTCTGTCTTCCATGATGTGAACTTAGCAGTCCAGGAAGGCAAGGCTGTCGTCTTTCACATCTTCCTGGGTGAACTGGATGTTTCTGTCCACCGCCTTGATGTGGTCCGTACAGAAATAGGAATAAATATATTCATATGTAACTATATGTATATATACAGATCTTATTGTGCAGAGGCTGTGACACATTGTTCAATATAGACTAAAGCCTGGACAGCATCCTCCTCTGAGTGTCCAGCTCCTCCCCTACGACATCACCGGCCCTCCTGATCAGTTTGTTTACTCTGTTGTTGTCCGGCCTTCAGCCCACTGCCCACCATGTGACAGCAATAAAGATCGCACCGGCCACAACAGACTCATAAAATATCCTTAGCCTCTCAAAGGTCTTCATGATGTGGGACCGGTGCCACCGGCCTGTAGTCCGGAGGGCAGGGGTGGAGGGGTGGGTGTGAACTGAGGTGGTGAGGAGCAGACAGGGGGTCTGTAAGGAGGAGTGGGGAAGGTAAAGTGGTCGTTGTTTGGTAGCCAGCAGCAGATGTGGTCAGTGGTCAGCGCGGCCTTACTGTGGAGACTGCTTCTGTGGTGGGGATGCAAGTAAAGGAGGGACCAGAGCCACCTTTTGTTTTCCCCCTAATTCTTTTGTTCCACCTACAGTGTATTCATCTCAGAGCTCCCCACCATCAGTTAGACCTGAAGAAACCTCTTGGATGAGAGGCCAAAAGTCTTCTAGAAAACCTCACGTCCACCTAACACTAAACTGAACTTTTCAAGCTTGACCGTGACCTGGATGACTGAGAATCTTCACAGATATTTTTGACCAGTTGTTTCTTATTCGTGTCACTGGGAATAGTTTTAGAATGTCGGGATCTGAAGTACTGTATGTGAACTCCAGTTTCGGACCCTGATATTGGTTCCATTTAGTGGGAAGGGCCGGTGTGTAGGATGGAACATGGAGTCCCACAGTCACAGCTCTTTGTTGCTCCACAGAGGTCCGTCCTGTAGGGGACCCTGGCTCAGATGGAGGACAGCACACAGTCCTGGTTGGACGTCCTCACCTACCACAGAGAGCTGCTGGTGTCCAGGCTCAGGAGCATCCAGTGCCTCCTGGACAACCTGCAGGCCAGTGGCTTCTTTTGTGAGGAGGATGTTGAGATTGTTCAGCGGATGGTCACCAAGGCAGATCAGGTCAGAGCTGGGCCTGAGCGTTTTTCAGAAGTGGCTCATTTGATCTGTGAAGCAGTTTCAAATGGACAAGCAGCGATGACTTTTTCTGCTAATTATTTTACAGGTGCGCAAAATCCTGGAGCTGGTCCAGTTTAAAGGGGAGGAGGTCTGTGGATATTTCCTTTTCATCATTTCTAAAGTATGTGACGCATATGTGGACCTCCAGCCATGGCTGGAGGAGATCAACTTCAGCCCAAGCCCTGACGTAGCGCAGATAAGGGTGGTTAACACAGACCCCAGTAAGTATACCTGAGATGCCGCACTCATAAACATTTACACATTTATTTACACATAGTGCCAAAATCCGATCCATAGTTTGAGCAGGCCTATGCTGTCCAGATGCTCTGGGTGTGATTTCTGCCCTGTCTGCCCTCAGTCAGCAGGTACTGTGAGAGGCTGCGGCAGGAGATGAGCCGGGACACCAGCTTCATCATGTCCTACGGGCAGCAGGACGAGACCCGGCTGGAGGACCTGTACACCGACACGGTGATGGAGCTGCTGGGCGACCGCGGGGAAAGCCTGGGCTTCCTCCAGAGTCTGGACCAGCTCCTGCTGGACCAGGCCGTTTTCAACCCTCAGGGGGAAATCACCTACGTGACGGGGGACGCTGGGGTGGGGAAGTCCATCCTCCTGCAGAAGCTGCAGAACCTCTGGTCCAAAAGGGAGCTGCAGACAGATGCCATCTTCTTCTTCAAGTTCCGCTGTCGAATGTTCAGTGTTTTCAAAGACAACGAGCAGATCTCCCTTCGAGACCTCCTGTTCAAGTACAACTGCTACCCGGATCACGACCCGGATAACGAAGTCTTTGACTACATCAAGCGCTTCCCAGAAAAGGTTGTGTTCACCTTCGATGGCTACGATGAGATTCAGGAGGACCCGGAGCTGATGAACGTGCCTGAAGTGGTGTCACCAGAGGACGGGGCGCACCCCCTCCAGCTGCTCATCGGCCTGCTGTGTGGGAAGCTCCTGAAGGGCTCCAAGAAGGTGCTGACCGCGCGGACAGGGACGGAGATGCAGACCAAAGTGATCAGGAAGAAGGTGGCTTTGCGTGGCTTCTCCTTGGAGCACCTCAAAGCCTACACTAAACTGCACTTTAAGGAGCAGGAACATCAGGAGCTGGTGTCGGTGCAGCTGGACGCCAGCCCCCACCTCAGCGGCCTCTGCTCCACGCCGCTCTTCTGCTGGATTGTCTTCAAGAGCTTCAGGCACCTGCACACAATGCACGACAGCTTCCACCTGCCTGAGAGCTGCGTCACACTGACTGACATCTTCCTCCTGCTCTCGGAGGTCTTCCTCAGCCGCTCGGCCTCACCGGCCCCGTCTCTGCTGAAGAAAAGCTCCCGCTGCACAGCGGAGACCTTCAGGGCGGGCCTCAGGCCCCTGGCTGCCTTCTCTAAGCTGGCCCTTCACAGTCTGGAGGGAGGCAGCTTCATCTGTGATCAGGACCAGGTCAGTGAGTGCGGGCTGACGGCGGAGGACCTGGCCCTGGGCTTCCTGCGGCCGGCCGGGGGCTGTGATCCCGGCCAGGGCCCCGCCGCATTCGAGTTCATCCACGTCACCCTCCAGTCTTTCCTGGCTGCGTTTGCTCTTGTGCTGGATGAGCAGTCTGCTGCAGGCTCCATCCTTAAGTTTTTCACCAAGTGCAGCAAGAGAACAGAATCATCCTGTCTGTCTTTAGCTGCCTGCATCCGCTCTGTGAAACCCAGAGAGACGCAGCCGTTTGCAGCAAACGACCACCTTCAGTTCACCAACCTGTTCTTGTGTGGACTCTTGTCAAAAAGTAAGATGGGGCTGATGGGGCAGCTGGTTCCTCCCGCTTTAGTAAAGAAAAAGCAGGCTTTGTTAAAGTCTTACCTGTCCACTAGTGTCAAGTCCCATCTGCAAGGCCTACCCCACTGCACTGTTGAGGAGGGCAGGAAGGTGCACGTGCTGCCCGCCTTTCTCTGGATCCTGAGGTGCGTCTTTGAGACGGGCAGCAAAGACATAGCTAAGATGACAGCCAAAGGCATCACAGCCGGCTTCATCAAGCTGGGCCACTGCAACGTCTACTCAGGAGACTGCACGGCGCTGAACTTTGTGCTGCAGCACCGTCAGAAGCTCCTGGGTCTGGACATGGACAACAACAACATCAGCGACTTCGGTGTGAAGCAGCTCAGGCCGTCCTTCTGCAAGATGACAGTGGTGAGGTGAGTCAGAGGAGGCTTCTCCCTGAAATAGAGCAGCTCCATTTTTCTTTGGTGGCTAGTGCTCCCTGGTGAAAGTGGCTCCACCATTTTCTTTGATCAGATGTAGGACTCTCTGGTTGTGGGGGGGTTACTACAATCCATCTTTTTCTGAGACATCGGATCCTGAGTTCAAGCTGTTTACATGATTAGGATGATGTGTAATCCATCTTTGCAATAGTTTTTATGTTTCTGGGGTTGTTACGATGCTCTTGTGTAGTATTAAAGAGCTGACCATATAAGGAAATCTCCCAATCCTAATCCTCCCATCCAGTCATTTAACTACATCTTTCAGTAACTGAAAACTCAGTCTTCTACCACCCATCTCTTATTGGAAAACAGCTAATATTTTGTTAGGGTCTGTTGTCACGGTAACGGGTTAGTCCATTGACTGTGGATGTTTCTGGGGGGCATCAGACTGTGCAGCTCCAGCTTAGTGTGGCTAACCTGTTGCTTCACCCTCAGGTTGTGTGTCAACCAGCTGACAGACAGCAGCATGGAGGTTCTGGCAGAGGAGCTGTGCAGACACAGAATTGTAGAGGTTTTAGGGTAAGTCAATATTCATGTATATTCATGTATATCACTTCAGATCAGCTTGACGTATGAGCCAAATGTCATCTGAAAGAACTTCAAAGATACAGTTGCATTAGATCCTGTTAGAATCCTCTGTTATGCAGTAAGAACCAATAGAAATGTCAAACACATGTTTTCCTAAAGCTTCTCAGACTGAAATCAACATTTAAAGATGGTTTAGGGAGCTGTGCTCCGGAGAACTGTTCTCGCCAAAGGACTGAGCCAGGTGGCGATGGCTAACGTCATCTGCTTTGTTCAAAGCTGCATTTTTGATGCATGGCTGCTGTTGTGCAGCTTTTTTTTGTAAAGGTGGAAGAAGGAGGTAGAAAAGTGTGTGATGAGCCTCAGCTTTGGCCTAGAGGCTACGCAGGCTTCTTACACTCCGGGAAATGTTAGTTAATACTTTGTGACTTTTTATATAGCAAACAGTTAATCTGAGACTTGAGCAAACATTTGTCCAATGACTAAAAACTGATCTGGAGGTTATTTGTTTGTATTTCCATGTTCAGGCTTTACAACAATCACATCACGGACATCGGGGCTAAGCTTGTTGCTCGGATAATTGAGGAATGCCCCAAGCTGGCAGTTGTCAAGTATGTTTCTGATATATAGAGTTAGAAGCTGAATGTGGAATAATCCCAGAATTGATGACATCATTTCTCTCTCTAGGATTGGTAAAAACAGGATCACCAGCATTGGTGGGAGATATTTGGCCCGTGCGATTCAGAAGAGCTCTTCAATATTTGATGTGGGGTAAGTTTGTCAGGGAGTGGTTTAAGCTGTGGTTCTCCATCAGTATCTGGGCTGGTTCTCCACCAGTATCTGGGCTGGTTCTCCACCAGTATCTGGGCTGGTTCTCCATCAGTATCTGGGTTGGTTCTCCACCAGTATCTGGGCTGGTTCTCCATCAGTATCTGGGCTGGTTCTCCATCAGTATCTGGGCTCAGTTGGGCTGGTTCTCCACGCAGGTTCTTTGGACATCCCATCAGGGTCCTTAGGTACCAGCCTTAGGTACCCTGATGGGGTAGCTGAGGAACCTAATGAAGCTGATCTTTGAGCTTTGATGTCTTCCAGGATGTGGGGCAACAGCATTGGTGATGAGGGAGCCGAGGCTTTTGCTGAAGCTCTGCGGAACCACTCCAGGCTTACCAACCTCAGGTCTGAGAGGACAAAACAGAACCAAGAAAACCATCTCAGTACACAGACCTGACTTGTTCATCTTCTCCTCTGCTCCAGCCTGTCAGCCAATGGCATCACATCAAGAGGAGGGAGGTGTTTGGCAGAAGCTCTGAAAGAGAACAGTGTCCTCAGGATATTCTGGTAAGGGGGCCGCTCAGCCTGAGCCTGAGCTGTCTGCTCATATCAGGGCCAGAAGAAGCCTGCCATTGACATATTCTACATGCCATGTAACAAGTGTGTGCAGCTTTGTTGGGCGGTGTGTCAGGCCCTGTTTGTGCTGCACAGGTTGGTGCACAATGAGCTGAGCGATGAGGCTGCTCCACATTTGGCCGAACTGATCCGAGCCGACACTGGTCTGAGCCACCTCTGGTGAGGGAAATGCCCGCATACTAACCCTGTGTCCACTGGTGGTCAGGAAGCAATGGCCTCACCTGGATGTGTGTGTGTTTGCAGGTTAAACGACAACAGGTTCTCTGCAGATGGGTTCCAGCATTTCAAAGAGGCTCTGACTCACAACACAAAGCTTAAAGAGATATGGTTGAGTATTTAAGCAAAGCCCTCATGCTATAATGTTTCAGTCTGTACTAACAGGTGTGAGCAGAAGCTCATGTTAGCAAGTATAAGTGACAGGAAGTAGCAGAAAAAGGTCAGGCCAGCACATTTCCTGCTCACTGAGTTTCACACGTATCCAGAAACAGCTGCTAGAGAAGTGCTTGGATTTGAAATAAGGATGTGTTGATAGTGAATCTCTCATTAGTTTTATTTTACTTCTGCTTTCTAACTGTGCCCTGCCTGCCCACATGTGATGAGCTTACAAACCTTCCCATTCAAAAACCCTCCACATGACCACACGGCCCTGGAGAATCAAAAGTGGATTTAGCAGAAACAGGATGTGGAATCACTTTTGATCAGCTTCTCACAAGATATGTCCACTACCAAACCCAACCCCCCCTCATCACTCCTTACAGTAGCTAACCCTGTTGTTAATGGACCCCTCGTCTTATCAGTAATCTGATGCTGATTGCTACAAATGAAAAGAAACACATAAAATCCAGTTGGCCCTTTGCAGAATTTTCATCCTCTGTTAACTTGGCCTTTTCAGTAGAGTCTCAGCAGATTTCCCTCCAGGGTGGGGGGAGCCTCCCATATGAGGTTCTGAGGAAGGCCATCTCTGCAGAGTTGTTCCGTTCCCGACAGCTCAGTGTGGGTTCAGAGCACTACAGAGACAGAATATGATCAGAAACCTGCTGCTGAGCGCTGGCTTTTAGTTCCTCCTCCGTCATTTCCCGGTGTAGGCTGAAATGAAGGGTTTAGCACATTTCCCTCTAACAGAATCTTTCTGCTCAGTGACTTGGGGTGTTTCCTGGGCTCAGCCCCTTTAGGATTGACTGTACATGCAGACAGAATCCTTAAACAGGCTTTAAATAGTCTTTACATAATAATTCATATTTCATTCAGATGTCATCTGCATATAGATGCAGTCCACATGGATATGTTCTAAACTTCAACACTGCAGCTCACAGGACATAAAGTTGTGACTGAATGTAGCCTAAACATTCCACTCAGTAGAAGCGTTGGTTGTACTCTGCAGAATTCGTGTGGGTCATGTTTTAGCTCCTGCTGATGTGTGACCCTGTTCCCACAGCGTTGGAGGAAACCAGCTCTCCAAAGAGGAAGAGACACGGTTTGAGTCAGAGAAACGTCTGCGCTTCCACTGACGCCCGCCTCACATCTGAGTCTGTGGCCCCACCCAGCCCCGCCCGGCCCCGCCCACCACCGACAGGCTCCGCCCACCACCGACAGGCCCCGCCCACCAGCAACAGCCACAGTTCACAACCAGAGATAACCCAGTGTGCTGGTTCTACCTGGAGACCTGGATTATTATCCGGAACCAGAACCTCTGCGGGTTTGGGCTGGGAGCATGAAAGCTCTCTCTGATGTCACACCATCTGACATTCTGAGCGTTTTTCTGCTTCATGAGCCATACTAACTGAACGATGGGAAGTGCAGAGGAAATTTTGATGAAGAAGTTTCAAAATCTGACATGAAAAACAGGAAGTGGGAACAGTAATGAAGAAGTACAGGTTTCCTGTATGTATGAGGGGAAGGGCTTTATTTACTGTGGGACTGTTACCTTTTAGATGCTGTGACAGCATCTTCATAATGTTTACATTCTGATTTAGAGACCAACTAATGTGGAAGAATACACCCAGCACATGACGGCCTCAGAACTGGACAGATTGTTAAGCATTGGCCGCCCCCCCCATACCGTCTCAGCAACAGAGATTCGCCATGATAATGACAAATTAATTCGGCATTTTACGGATCATCCTATGACAGGCTTCAAATGTCATTTCATATGAATTGAATTGAATTGAATTGAATATACTTTATTGATCTGCAGGGAGAAATTGAAATTACAATATGTTTTGTAAAATAAACTGAACGTTTGTCTTCTGTTCTGTAAAATACTGGAAGACTTTTCTTCATGTCCAAGGCAGCAGCTCTACACGATTCCACAAAGATGGTTGTTTTTCTGCTTGATTGTTCTTCTTTACATTTTGTATCAAAACAGCATATGCACAAATATATTGGGGGGGGGAACTTAATAGAAGTTCAATAGCTCCTAAACATCGACCCGTGCATTTCCTGCCCCTTCATTCAGGTGCTGGGCCCTATGCCTGATGGCTGGCTGTCCATCCCAGGAACGTGCACGCTCACACTCACTTCTGAGTCACCACTCAACCCAACATGCAGGATTTTAGAGGAAGCCGGCCTCAAATTCATGGGCAGAAGAAAAAGAACCAGTCGGGGTTCAGACCATAACCCTCCTGCTGAGAGGCCATGGTGTGAGCCCTCACTATGCACAGCCTCTCCAAAACTCCCTCAACCAAATGTCATAATGAGCTAATGGTTTCTGTCCACAATGCTGTAAAACATAGTTTTACTGTTTTATTAATGATGAGCCAAAAATCACGTATTCATCTATTAAGGCCAGATCTGTTGTACATTTGAGCTCAAATGCTCAAACAGAAACTATTAAAAGTAATGACATCATAAGTCTGATTACTATGAGTTAGCTACAGACTGAGGTTCAATGAGCTATGTTGAGAAGGCAGTCAAAGAAAGGCCTCCACCTCTCCCTGCAGAAAGGAGCTACAGCTCCATCATGTGGAAGGAGTTACTGCTACAGACTAATCTGTGTGAGTTTAAGGTTAACGTGCTCAGCATAAGACATGTTCCTGAATGTTCCAGGCTGCATTAAAAGCTCCAACATTCGTTTAATTTCACACCCAGTAACCCAACGATGGCTGTAATACACAGAAAGTGCTTTAAAGGGACTGCTGCAGTTCAGTGGGAAGAGTTTAACTCACAGGGTGGACAACAGACTGTTCAAAGTCTTTACACACAGGGTAAAGACAGGACACACACACACACACACACACACACATACATATGTGTATGTATATATATATATATATATATACACACACACACATATATATACACACACACATTTATATATATACATATATACACACATATACCCACACACACACACACACACACAATTTTCAGCTTAAATAATAAAGTTTACAACGAAAATGATTTTGGAATGAATTTGATACAGTATGAAAAACAAAGCAGTTAGTATAATTTTACTTTTTAAAAAGAGAATTATATAAGGTGCATTTGAGAAGACATACTTTATTGGGACCACAGATTTACATGAATCAGTTCTGGTAACCTTTAGTAACCTTAACTAACCTGTATTGCAGCAGAACAGACTGTGAAACACCACATGTCGTAACAATCCTGCTCCCCTCCAGTCCAGCCTACTGTTGGGTTACTTTTAATTGTATTTGTGTTCACTCACATCCAAGTTTTATCAGCATTTTAGGGGGGGGAAAAAAGCCTCTATCTCACATCATGTTTTCTCTACCTGGAAACAAAATAAGAAGCTGTATGAAGACAAGTTGGTACTTCCCCTTTCTTTATGTCACATCTTCCTGTCTTCATCACCCTCCCAAAAACCTTTCATGAGCTGCATTTCACAGAATAGCTCAGCTTACTTGTTTTATGGGCTAAAAACACTCTTTAGGTGGTACCAGCTGTACATTCAGCACTGGAGTCACAAGAAAAACAGAGTTATACAGCAGATTCCAAAAAGTTCTGGAGCTTAAATCCTGGATGTGCCAAACAGAATCCGTGATGGCTCTTTTTCTCTATTTTAAATAGATGGACGGTCTATGCAGTCTTTCCCTGCCCCGGGATGTTTGGGTACATCTACTCTAAAGCAGGCTGGCTGGGGTTTCAGGTCCAGCCTGAGATGGAGCGCAGCTGGGACCCAGGATACCATCAGTGTCCTGACTATGAGGCAACCAGGGGAGCTAGTAGTTAAACTGCTACTGTGCTGACCTCCAGACGATGAGGACCTCCTACACATTCACTCCTGTCTACATAGAACCAGAGAGAGCCGTCAGACCTAACTGCAGGACTGGAAACATCAGCGTTCAGCATGTCTGCTCATTATTACTCTGCATGATCAGAGAACAATATGCTGTCTCCTCTCTAGCCCCGGGAAACACCTCACAGTGGTTTTCAGCAAGAAGAGCAGCCTACTTATTGATAGGTTGGTGGTTTACCTCCCGGCTTCCCCAGGCCACATGTTGAGGCACTCTGGGCTCTGAACCTGACTTAGTCTACTGTTGGTGTGTGAACAGGTAGAAGGGAGCTGTGTGAGGCAGGTGGGGTAAAGTAAGTAACTGAGTGGTCAGTTACAGTAACAGACACATCTATTCTAAATGAAAGCTGGTCACCGGGAGGAAACAAAAAAGCTTCAAGCTCCTCCTCACAGCTGGCCTGGTGTGGGCCCTGACTCACATCTCTACCCTCCTTCTTGTCAAGTGACTTAAATATAGGCCACCGGTGCAGAATGTGGTGGAAGTGGTCATGTTCTGTTTCTGCTTCCTGTTCAGGTCAGAATGAAGTGTGTGAGCCCACAGCAGGAGCCACCAGTCCTAACCCCTCCTCAGGACGTCTTACCCCAGAGTCCACCGGCAGACCTCAGTGCTGCGGGGGCAGGTGAGGTATGGAGAGTGGGTCCTGTGTTATGGGCTGTCACAAAGAATTCTGCCTCCAGAGCACACCGTGCTTCAGTCAGACCGGGACAGACGATGACCAGCACTCCTCAAGTCCCACAAAGACAGAGACAGAATTTTTTGCAGAGAAAAAGGCACATCACCTGCTTAGAGTCAGCAGTAAGAGCGGTTCAGAGCCATAACGGCTGTTCTGAGCTCCCTCTGTCTGATGTTACACCATGTGTTAAAAACTATGCTGATGTTATTCTATTTTTTCATTTATTAGACTTTTTCAAATCAAAAGGAATGGCGATTAGATTGAAATCTTTCAGACATTCTACATCTGTTCATGTTTTATTATCTCATAAAAAGGACAGAGTTTGAAGCAGAAATATTCCTGTGATAGAAACCTTGCTCCTAAATGTCCAGGCCGGCTCCTCTTCAGACTGCAGTGGGCTGGGTGCAGGCTCTGGCTCTGAAGTCTGGTTTGGGATAAAAAAGCACTGATGATTGTGTGTGTGGCGGTCTTCACAGTTGGTTGGCAGTCCCACGGCCCCCGGCTGGTTCCTCCTGGCTGAGTGAATGGCAGTTATGGTGAGACGCTCCTGCAGCAGCGGCCGGCGGTGCTGACCGCCCGGGTCCAGTCCTGCTGCCCACAGGCATCACTACGACAAGGCACTCGGGGATGGAGCGGTCAGAGCCGGTCACCTGCCACCAGGCCGGCCCACAAGCCCCCCCTCCTGCTGTGAACCCAGCTAAAGAGCCCACCTCCTGCAGAGCCCGGCTGTCGGGGGGGGCGGGGGGGGGTGAGGAGCTGGAGATGAGCCTGTTCAGTCAGAGTCCAGCATGGCTGTGCAACACAAGCAACACAAAGTTTTCATCCCTGAAGGTTGCTCCAATGAGATTTGGCACACTGTGGCACTCAGTTCTGGGAGGGGGGGTGAGACGTGGAGTGGACATGTCACAGTGGTCAGAGTGTCCAGCCGTCTCCACTGATCCAAGTCCAGTTTAGCAGATCCATGTAAGGATGGGTTACCTGTAATCAGAAGACTGAGTTAGGAGCGTGTTAGTGGGGGTCTGGGGAGCGGCTCAGGGGGGGGCACACCGCGGGTTACCTGTGCCAACAACACTTTAATCTGACGGATGCTCTGGACAGGATCTGTTCACCTCAAACCACTCATCGATGCAGCTGGAATAACGGGGAGAGAGGAGGGTCAGCAGGCCGGGTCACAGTCACACTGAGAAAACCCCCAGACACCCCCCCGCACCCCCCCCCCCCCAAATCTTTGTGCCATCGAGGCACCTCTTAGTGAGCAGTCTCCAAAAAAACAACAAGACGTCTGGGTTTGACTGTCCTACTCTATTTCACCCCCGTTTGGGTGAAGCCAGCTGCTGGACTGACAGATGAAGCCCAGTGCTACTGGTCAGTGTGTCGGCGGGGGCAGCCGGGGGCTCGGGCTGTGTGGGTCACCAGGACTGAAATGAAGGATTTCAACACAGGTTTGAAAAGACCTGCAGCTTCTGATCTGAGCTGTAATAACTCAAGACTCTCCTTTAAAACCTTTTTGAGGTTCTAAAGTAACAGCTGTCTGATATCAGCAGATGACATCACCATTACAAAAACTGGTGAAACGCTGAGTCAGTATTATCTGAACAACAGCGAGTTCCAGTGGTACAGCTCTGTGCTCCAGGTTTCACAGAGCCTGACATGCCCAGCTGTATTCTGGCCGGTTAAGCTCTGGTTAAGCTGACCACCTCTCCTCTGGACAAAGACAAAGGCTCCGAACCCCTTGTGGTAGATGCAGAGGCAGGGCAGCCGGGCGATGGTGTCCCCCTGCTGCAGCTCCTCCAGGCAGATGGCACATTCTCCCGCATCCTTGGTCAGGACATCCTCTGCATAGTAACACACACATTATCCCACAGATATGATTACACACTGCAACTAACAAAGGTTCTGTTCTAAAAGAAAAGCCTCACATCTGACACTAAACACAAAGGGATGCTAACAAAATGTTGCGTGTTTTCTGTTCCAGTCACTGAACAGGAGGTTAACATGCAGTCTGCTGCTCTGCCAAACAACTGCTTCTGTGTGTTGATCTTAAACGGGAATAGCCCTGTTTACATGTCCATGATATTCTGTCTGTATTTTTAATACAGACAGAATATTGTACACATTGCATAATGAATAATACTAAAAAAACATGCATTCAGTGTTACACATTATATGCATATATATCTACTACATATCTATTGCCCCCTAATATATCAAAAAGTTATTATCCAAATATCAACATCCATCCATCCATTCTGCACAGGTTGCAGCCTCTGCCAGCTAATGAGACAATCAACCATCCACACACTCCTACAGGCAATTTAGAGTCACAGATCAAGATAACATGTTACCGGATGGTGGGAGGCAGCTAAAGTATCAATATCAACACGCAATAATAACGTTGCATGTATTCCATATAGTGACGGGAAGATAAAGTTTAACATCCAGCATCAGTGTAATACATCTTGCCCAGATAAATATATCCTGTTGAAGAATTTGTTCTATAATGCCAAAGGTATTCAGTCATCCATCCAAATGGTGGTAATCAGGTGTTGCATGCAGACTGCTTCTACAAACATGTGGGAATGAAGGGGTCATTCTCCTGAGCTCACTCCCAGATATTCCAGTCCCCTGTCAGTGGTGCTGTGACAAAGTGGCAGTAAAAGGGAACCACAGCCACTAAGTGGTAGGGCAGTGGATGCTGGGGCATGCTAGTGCCTCCAAACGGGGTCTCCAAAAGTCACGTGGCCTTCAGATGAACTCAGAACATAGAGAGCTTGATGGAAAGGCCAACTGCAATCAGAGAGCTCAGCAGATTTAATGACTTTGACTGATCTGAGGCTATGAAGTAAAAAAAAGACACCACAAGTAAATGCAGATGAAAGTTTTTAAAGAGGAAGAATCAATTTTCACCATCAAAAAGGCCTATGGACATCAGAAAAGCGTTTAAAAGAGTAGTGTATACAGAGCTATCATTTGAGTCTGCAAAGGCTAAAAAGCTGAATATTGAGCAGCAGCTAACGTAGCTCGCTGAGGTCCACCACCACTGTAGGCTGTCGCCACAACCATCACACCCGACATGGCCTCCCTGCTCAGAGGAACTGGTGCAAATTAGTGTTTGCTCATACTTTTTAGGTTTATGCTACTCTGTTGCGGTTGTTAAAGGAAAGCTGTTAAAGACATTTTCAGTTTAAAAATGTTTTGATTGCATGGAAATACAGCATACGGAATATCTAAATGCACCTGAATTTTCTTTTTTTTTTAAAGAAAGAAGGAAGAACAAGGTTTGGTACCACTGGTGTTAAGCAGCTCTGAATAATTCAGCATATTTCCATGCTGCCAACTTTGTGGGAAGAGTTTGGAGATGGTCCATGAAGAAGATGGATAAGAGAGTTTGGTGTGAGTGAGCTGGACTGGCCAGCACAGAGTGCTGACCTCAAACACAACACCTTTGGGATGAGTTGGAGCAGAAACTGAGCCAGGCCCAGTCCAGGCCCTATGGATTATTAATGGGAGGTCAGTCCTCCTGACCCATGTCAGTTTGAGCCCTATGGATCAAGAATGGGATGCCGGTCCAGGCAGGTGAGCCATACCTTTGGCAATCTAGTGTAAGTCAAGTGATTGTACATTTTAGTAAAAGTGTGTGGCAGAAACACAGAGCACACTTTAAACAGGGAGAGTGGAGCTCTTGTGACTGACTGCCTGCTGTCAGAGGGCACTGCTCTGCCTCCAGTGAGTATAAAAAGCAACCTGGCCCCATCCAAATGTCACCTATGTCACTACAAACCCAGTCAGTCCTCTGTCAGTGGAGCCTAGCCTGCTGTCCTCAAAGGATTACGTATTTGGTCAGACACTTCCTACATCCATAATGACATTTACCAGGAATCAGAAATACATTTCATTAATCCGCTGTCTCACTCTGAGGCTGGACCTGAAACGCTCCCCTTCTGTCTTTAGTCTGGCTCATAAGTGGTCAGCTAGCATGTGCACCATTAAACCCATCACCTGCCGCAAAACACACTTGCATAACTGTGGATTAACCCACATTGTCCTGTAGAGGCTTATTATTAAGGGCTGGGGCACATGCTGTCCAGCTCAGCGGTGGGTAAAGTCATCTTTCACAGGCTGGACTGCCCAGTCAGCCTTAGTTTGTGTTAAAATGATGTTTGTTTTAGTGCCTGCTCTCCGTCTTCAAGCTGTGAGGCGGCAGCAGCTGGATGCATGTGTTCACAGAGCATCTCTCCATTAGTCAAGTCAGCCATGAACTTCCCAGCCTAAAAGAGCTCAAATAAACAACACACACCTTGGTGTGTGTCGTTTGTGTACACATGCTCGTTTTTCCAATGACCAAAATATGTCCAACGTGTTGTGTGGGAAGCAAATGCTTATGATTTTTCAGAAGGTAGTTTTCGACTCTGGGGTTGGCTGTGTCCCCCCATTTTTGTTGGAAAACAGTCCCCAAGCCCCCTCTTATAGAGTAGGCACCAGGATGTTAAGAGCAGTCCCCAGCTGACTGACCACAGATTCAGGAGGATAAATGTAGTCCAGTCTACATGTGTTTGGTAGACTTGGAAATGGATAATGGCCGTGTCCCTCATGGGACTCTGTGAGGGGTGCTGAGCAAGTATGAACCACTTTAACAAGCCATCTGGACCTTGCATAACCAAGGACCAGATAGCATCTCCATGTTTAAAGCCTTTAGTGTTGTCAGTTATCCTGTTTTTACAACTCATACTTATCTCAATCAGTAGTCGCTCAGAGGACAGTCATATCTATGCTTTTGGCACATAATGGATCCAAGGATTAGGGCTTTGTCAGAAGTTATGAGGAGGCTGAGATGGAAGGAGAAGCCTTCAGGTCACTGGTCCAACTCTGTCCCAGCCCTTAATTACAGTCAAAGATCTGAGCAGTTAGAGGAGGAAACTCCTGATTCCAGAAATTCTGAACTTCTTTCTGAGGGTGGCTGGGCTCAGCTCAGATGGCGGAGGAGCTTGTCCATATGTAGAGCTCCTCCACATCCAAAGAAGGCAGATGAGGTGAGTCGGGCATTGGGTTAGGATGCCTCCTAGTCACCTCTTTTGGGAGGTTTTCTGGAAATATCCTAGTGGGAGAAGAACCCAGGGCAGAACCAGGACTCAGTGGTGGCCTGCAGACAGCTACAGTCAAGATAGATAGCAGGTATATCCCTTATATTCTCAGGTTCTACAAATCAGATCAGGATTAAAATCCTCCGGTCCTGCCCAGGTCTTGGAATTTTTTTTACTCTTACTGCAGAATAACACAAACATCACGTTATTATTTGGGACGAGGTTTTCATCTTTGGTTTGAGCACAGCTCTCTGAAGCCCCCTTCCCCCCCCAGGACCTGCTGCTGTCCTGTTGACGGGCCAGTGTCAGCCCAGCTTTAGCTGTGGGACAGATGGGCCAACATCTGGATCTGAGAGCTTTCCAGAGGAGTTCTTGGTGGACTCCCAGGTCCTGATGCTGCAGACCCAGCCCAAACCAAAGCTGCTATGAGGCGTTTGGGTTTGGTTTCTGTGCGTTCTGACCAAACCTCCCCCCTCTGCTCTTTGTTCCAGGAGTCTGGAGCTCTGTTCAGACCTGAGCCCTGCTGCCATCTTCTTTTTCCAGAGAAGAGGCTTTCTCCTGCAGCCCAAACCAACAAGCCAAACGTGTTCAGTCTTTTTCTAACTGTGCTTATTGACCTTTGACCTGCTCACCAGGCCCTGAAGAGTCCAAATGCAGCTTTAGGGTTTTTGACCTTGCTGAGACGTTCACTCTTAGAGATTGACAGCCGTCCTGAATGTTCTCCAATTGGAAATAATTGTTCTCTCTGTAGAATGATGGACTCTGAAAAGTTTGAAAATGGTCCTATGACCCATCAGATTGACAGGCAGCAATAGTGTCTTCTCTTACATCACTGCCTATGTTTTTCCTCCTTGGCATTGTGTTAATGATGATTTTACTACATAAAATACATCCATTTTCTATATCTGCTTAATGTGCAGGAACAAATCTGACGTTAAATCTTTAAGAATCCATTTTCACATGGCTGCTGCTTAATTACTTCCCAAGAGCACACACACAAAGAAAGAGCTGCTCAGCTACTTTAAAACTCATGTTGTGGGCCCTGAACAGAAACACTGACTCTTCACCTAAAAAAAAATTCACAGATCTTTACTATTCAGGCCCAACATGCCTGGATCTGGGAGGGGAGCAGCTCTTATGGCTGACCTCCGAGCGGGAATTTCTGAATCTTATCTGTTCAGTAGAAAGAGCAACTTTTCTCTGACAGAGTCATCAGTCCGTTTCATTGCAGGCTACAAATCAGAAATGAGGTTGTGAAACATCTTATGCTCCATAGCACAGGGCAGACCGACAGCAGTGTGATGTCATGTGCACATGACTGCTTGTGTATGCTATGAACCACCACCACATATACTTCGGGATCAGCAGTTTGTGTGTGGAAATAAACAGTATCTGATAAGCCAGGCCGCAGTTTGTGTCGACAGACTATCTGGACGATGTTTTAGCTTCATCACTTCCTGCTTCTGCTGCACTGCTTTGGTACAAAATCTGAAAAAATGGTTTGATCAACCACATGGTTTGGTGTGGGAGTCACAGGCAGGCGCGTATCATTTCCACACAGCCCACATGTTAGATGGAGACTTCCTGGTTCACACACACTTATACGCATGCATGCACTCACAATAATCTTCGCTACCCCGACGTGTTAAAAAGAAAACTCCTAAATGGTGGCATCAGCCAGTGATTAAAAAATGGAGCCTACAAGTGTGAATGTAGAGCCCTACACACACCTGAACATACACACCAAAGTTGCTGAAAAGCAAAGGTTTCAGCTCATACGGTCACAGGACTAAGACACAGGAAGATAGAGAGGAATCGGTCCAGCTGAACAGGAACTCTGAGGAGGAAGTCAGCCCTACAGTGAAGGCGTGCAGGAGCTGAAAATTCATCAAATCTCTCAGCCATTTTCTGAAGACAGATATGAAGTTCTGTCTTTAAAAACAACCCAATAGCTCCAGGTTAGCAATGGGACACATTAGTGTATTCAAACAAACATTTTGGAGTATGATTTTCTTTTAATGGTTCAACAAGGAATACAATATTCAATTGGGTTGAAAAAAAGGAAACTAATTTGGGAGATTTCTCTTAAAATCTAGAGCTACACAGAGGCCCTGATGAGACTAAGGCAGGGTGAACTGTGAGCCAGCGTGTGGCTAAATGTCTGAAACCAGTGTCAGGGTGCATGACTGCTGTCCCGGCCTTACTGGCTGAACCCCAGCGGGGTATGACCACCTGGACTAGGTCTGCTGCACTGCCCATCAGCATAGGGCAGAACGAAGGCAATATGGATGCAGACGGAAACAAAGCACCAACACACAGCAAATGCTGGTGGGTGAGAAAAGGGGAGGTTTCTGAGGGTTTTGACAAATAACAAGCATTCTCTTTTTCCAATGAGTTCAGGTCCTGCTGTTTAAAGCACTTTGGGCAACTTGTTGCTTTAAATGATGAATAAATATATAAATGGTTGTTAAAAGCCCAGATCTAAATGGAACAAAACACAGGAGCATTTCGTAGGTACATACTAAATCCCATTTAAGCATCCCCATGTCACAGAAACCTTGACTGTGATGGTATAAAACATGTGACAAGCTTTGATAGACGTGAAGAAAAGCTGCCCAGACACCCACAGCATTAGACTACAGTTTTGGAAATATTACAGGAGGATTACACAAGACTTCACAGGGAAGAACAGATACAGTTACATAATCTGGGAGCTGTGAGTGTCTCATTTTGTGAGGAACTAGTGTCTTTTTTCCCTGACAGTCTCTGGGAGGAGGCTGGATCCATGAGCAGATATCTGCTGCAGATCTTCCTAATATGGGATTCTGTGAGTTTGTTGCATGTAGTTGGGTTAAGTTCCACTTACAAATCACAGTTCAGATACAGATAGAGCAGCTTTGTGTGGTTAAAAAGAGTGGCTCTCTCCTACCATTGTACGTGACCCTCGGTTTGGTCAGACACAAAACCAGGTGAAGATCCATCTCATCTGAGGACACATACTTGGAGCACACGGGGCACTTAAACCCTGATAAAAAAGAAAGAAGACACAACTACAGTTAATATAATGCGTCATCTCCTAAACTAAATGTCAAAGTCATCATTTCAAAATACCTGAACTAAGATCTTGATGGTTTATTAACTTTGTGGGAGGCTCCATTAAAAGTGTCTCACCACCCTTTAGTAATGTTAGGAATCACAGAAGATTCATTCATCTTTATTTCCCTTTATAAAAACAGAAATGAGAGTAGCATGGTGTTCGCCTGGGGAAAAACAACAAGATGAGCTCAGGAACAGGACAGCCAGAGGAAGAACAGATCCAGGCAGTGGTCCATGTGAAGATCAATCTGTGTCCTTTAAAAAAGCTTTAAGGAGAACAGCTTAGAGGGCTCACTTTTTTAGTGCCTTGCTGCTCCCCTTAGTTCCTTAATTTTTACCTGTGAAGGATAGAAGTGATTCCTTGCTGCAAAGGATTGTTGCGACCCAGCAGCGTGCCACTTCACGCACCATCAGCCATCTGTGGGAGTCAGTCTTCTGGACCCCCCTCTTTTCCATGTCCTCTGTGGCTGGTAAATGCTCACTCGACTCTTTTTGTGGGTCCTCTGAACTCCCAGGCTGATGGGAACTGTGCGTGACATAGCGGTTTAGTGACTGGTCCACAGAAGGCCCCAGCACAGCTACTGGCTGCACAGAGCTCTGAACTGATATTCTAAACTTCTATAAGATGGCAGGTTTCCACTCATACGGTTCTTTTTGCAAAGGGAGACATTATGTCTCTTTTTAGTTTTCATCCTATGGAGGATGTCAGTAAAACAGAAATCAGCTGAAAGACCAAGTTGCTGTGGAGATTGTTAGAGGTCGGTTGGTGAGTGTTTGGGAAATCTCTAAACAGTCCAATCCATTTCACTGTAACCCAGTCATCATCATCGAATAATCCAGTCAAAATAAGTGAATTCAACACCAGATTTGTCCGCTTCTTCTAATTTTAAAAACATTCCATGGTGAGGGAACCAGAAGAGGACTCTGATTTCACAGCTCTAAACCAGAACGCTGGTAAGGGGCTGCTGGCCGTCAAAGCCAGGACAGGTGTGTGGGTTGTGCCTAAAATGGAGCCATCAGTAGGTGGGCCAATGCAGACTTTTGACCCCCCCCCCCCCAAGCTGTCAAAAAGCAGGTTGATTTGAGCAAAGTTTAGTGACGAGGGTGTAAAAGTCCCCATGGAAGCCTAGCAGAAAGTAGAACGAGTTTGGGCTCACTGGGATGAGCTCCTCTCTTGAACGTCTGAGTGAGGGCAGAATAACCTAAAATCTCCTCCTCCATCATGACTGGACATAACCCTACTGGAGGCTCTTTTCTGTGGCTTTAGGTTGATTACTGCCAGCTGCTGGGCTGGAGTGTGTCCAACGCAATGAGGGAGGAGCAGTTCAAAGATTAAATAAAAATCAAATGATAATCAAAAATTAAATCCAAGACGTAATTTAACAGAAATTAGCCAATTCTACTTCTTACTACACTGCACCAGCACAGGGCAGTGAGAGCTCAATCTGTGCATCCAAAGCTATGAATCATCCCCTGTCCATAAAAAAGGTCTTTCATTTACATACTATGTACTTTGATTTAATCTTAAATTGAAAAAAATGGCAGGGAAGTCATACATAATTGTACCTGATGGCACAGGTAAGTGTTTGATAAGTGCCCACTTGTGAGGCGGCCTCCACTGCTGCCCTCCAACAGCAAGACTCAGCTTTTTTACTCTGAGCACGCACTGGTGCACAGCGGGCTCAGGACACACAAAAAGATGCCTTCTGGATGACATGTGATTCCTATTTATCGGTAGATTCCCGGCTGTTTGCTAGGCCTGCATCGCTTTAGGAGAACAAAAGGATAGCTTTTTGTCACCATTGCCACATAACTGCTCCCTCAACAGCACAGCCACAAATCCTTGAAGAATCTTCAGTGTATCTGTAGAAAACACAGCAGGAGCAGCAAAGTTCCAGTGGCTTTTGGGGAGCAACTGTGCACATTGATTTGTTGGGTGTGTAAACACTCCACAGACACCAGTGTGCCCTCCGTAACAGCTTACTTCTAAACAACCCTCATCCATCAGCTGTCAGCATAACAATTCAGCAGCCGCGGGCAGAGAGAGAGAGAGAGAGAGAGAGGCACAAATCACCAGCAGGTGACGCACAGCAGACACAGCCCGGCTAAGGAAATGTGTGCAGGGCTGCCGTCCAGAAGTCAAATCTGCCTGCATGCTGCGATACTGATGGGATGAATAGATTAGTGCAGGCAGAAGCAGGCTCACCGCTGCCTGTCTGACCTATTTTACAGAATCCCAACCAGCACACACACAGACGCCGTCTCACACAAGACCTTCAGCCATCTGTGGACACCGCAGAATGCCCCACGGAGAAGATTTAGGATGGAATACAGCTCTTCAAGAAAATGCTGTTGTGAAAATGCAGCTGAGCCCCCCCCTCCCCGGTGGGCTGTGATGACTCATCCAGCAGACATGATGGGGTGCTCTCCCTATCAAACTGAGCTGCTGTGTGTCCTCATGTGTGTCACCAGGTCATAGCTGAACTGATTAGAGCTCTGGCCTTATGAAGCCTGTCGTATGTGGCTTTGTGGAGGTCACATGAAAATAGGTGCATGTGAATGATGAGGGGAATCCAGGGGAATTGGATGCATTGTTCCACCAGACGCTGCTGCCCTGACATGAGGGGCAAAGCCCATAGCTGCAGGCTCTCAAAACTGTGCCATGAAACCTGAGCCTGAACACCAAAACCATCAGCGCTAGTATTTGCATCATGAGATTAGATGACGTGGACCATTACTGAAGAAAGGGTCGCTCTCATTCTTATCAAATGAGCACAGAGGGGGGAAATAAATTTTCTCCTGAAAATGATCAGAATTGTCAAACTGTGAGGAGATGTTCAAAAGAGGGAGGCCAGTCTTTTTGTCTGCTGCTAGTTTAGAGAGCAGGAGAAGAAAAAAGGACAGCATAACAACTCATGATCAAGGTTCCCTCCAAGCTGCGCGCTTGCGCATTCGTGCACTGCTCCCACGTTCTCCACGCACAGCAAATCTATGCAGCGCACACAATATAATTAAACCTGAACTGTAAATAAAATAAATGGTTAAGTATTTATTTAACGTGGGAGCAGTGCGCGAATGTGCAATCGCGCAGCTTAGAGGGAACGTTGCTCATGATGTTCTTAATGAGGAGCTCCTCAATCCTCCACCAATTTCCACTATCATTGAGAGCACCAACACAAATGCTTAAACAGCTTTTAGCTTCTGGCTAAATGAGGTTCATACATAACAAATGAATCATATATTCCATGTAAAAGTGGTCAAGAATTGAAATAATGGCTGGTGTAAAATCAGAGGATGGAGGTCCACCTTCCAGCAGGACGCTGGCCCTCAGCAGACACCAGCACATATGGTTAGGAAATATCCCAGAGGTTTGGTTTCCTGTTCCACTGACACTTAGTGACAGGACTCCTTCATAACTGAAACATCCGCAGGACCCACTCAGAACCCTCCAGCTGGGGCAAAGCCTCAGGCCCCAAGTGTGTGGACTTACAGAGCTGAGAAGATCACTATCACTATTACTACTGTTACTGCTCAGTGGGGGGAATGCTTACGTAGAGGTCCTTTATCAGCACTTCCCAGTATCTGCATCGTCTTCCTGTGTCAAAGTGGTTCCCTCCACGTTCTCCAGCTTCCACCCACAATCCAAAGGCATGCGTGTTAGGGTAATGACTTATTTTAAACTGATTCAGAGTGTTAGTGTTAACGGTGCCTCTATTATTTCTGGCCTGGCTCCCACCTCATGGCAGTGATTTTAAATTAAATGAAGCAGGTTTGGGAAGTAGGGGCGGCATGGTGGTGTGGTGATTAGTCGCCTCCCAGCAAGAAGGTTCTGGGTTCAAGTCCTGGGGGAACCAGGACCTTTCTGGGTGGAGTCTGCATGTTCTCCCTGTGTCTGCGTGGGTTCTCTCCGGGTTCTCCGGCTTCCTCCCACTGTCCAAAAACCTGCATGTTACGTTGATTGGACATTCCAAATTGCCCTTAGGAGTGAGTGTGAGTGTGAGTGGTTGTTGGTCCTTGTGTGTCTCTGTGTGTCCCTGTGATGGACTGGCGGACTGTCCAGGGTGTACCCTGCCTCTCGCCCGTTGACCACTGGGATAGGCTCCAGTTCCCCCCCGCGACCCCATGAGGGAATAAGCGGTATTGATAATGGATGGATGGATGGATGGATGGATGGATGGTTTGGGAAGTGAAGGAATACCTTGATAACACAGCATGCCCTTTTCATTCCAGCTAGCATGGCACTAAAATTGGTCAAAAAGGCACTGTAAGAATGCTCTATTAATCAGTTACAGAATCATGATCAGGATTAGGGAATGATCAAAGTTTGTTCTAACTACTGGCAGTTCATGCATAGAATTCACAGAGGAGAGCATTTTGTCACTAGAACAGTCAGAAGAACACCAAACAGATTTGGATTATAGGAAACATAAATGCATAAAATGAATCCAATCACTCTCAATAAGTCCAAACGTGGGCTGAATAGTATTTACTGTACTGCGCTGGCACGGCTCAGTGCCTTCAATCAGTCAAAGTTCTCCTGAATAAGCCGCAACGCAGCATTTTCCAGACTTCACACACTGTTAACCAGGTTTCCACTTCTGACCGTATGGGCACCAAATCACTGCTCTCCATCTAATCTACCGTTTGGAGAGCATCCCAAGGTTCTGCCTTCCTTTCCACAGTCATTAACTCTGCTGTCCTGCAGCCCCTGAATCAGCACTTCCTGCACTCCATGCTATTAAACAGGACTTATGAATCATCATTTTATTGATTTGTTCACTGATCATTCAAACAGTGAGTAAGCCCTTCAGCCTTTAGAGCGGTGAGCCGCACACCCACAGAAAGGCCCATCAGCTAGAGAGTAAAACACACCACATTCAGGATCCTAGAGATAAAAAGAGAGAAGCTAACCCTTTGTGTGTCTATTGTGTGGCCAATTAGAAAACTGAGTTGCTGCCCACTGGGAGCTGCAGCAGGCCTGATGGGGGGTCAGCCGTGCACTGGGCTCAGTCAGGATGGTTGTAGTCCAATGTGTGGGGGGACTAGTTGGGGTATGGACCTACAAGGCACCAGGAGGCACCCTTAGGCAGGGTGGTTGGCGGGTGAGAAAGCCCCAGCCAGGAATGTGCACCTCCAGGACACCTGGCTGCTCATTTTGAGGCCTCATGTGTTTTCCATTGGTGCCCTCCCCACTTTAAACCACGGAGCAGAAAGAACAAACGAGTCTGACAAAAATAAAGCCTCAAAACAAATCTTGCCCCACACCATGCCTCTTTTAATTAGAACCTTGATAATGAATGATCTGATCTTAAACAGCCGTCTGTATATTTGTAACAGAGACATAGTTTAGCCCCGATGCTCCAGTTATTGTAAGTGATGTCACACCACCCAACATCTGCCTTTCTGCTGATGCCCACGTAGGGTTTTCAGACCAGTCCTGGATTTTCTCTACCATTAGCCATTTTCCTTAATCGGATGTTCCTAAAATGACTACTCTGCACTGTCTGCACCCTGAAGAGGCTGCACATGTAACTCACCTGCAACAGGGCAGTCCAGCTCACATTTGACCTGCTGCCTCTGGTTTTTCTGTTCACTATTTAACAGTTAACTCAGATCTTCTCAAAACTCCATTGTTCCCCTTAGAATAAAAATGATAGTCACAAAAAAGCACCCTGCCATTTTAAAGACCAACTAAACCAAGAAAAATAAATCAATAAAACAAACACAAGCATTTTTGCTCAAAGATCATCACAGTCACCCGCAACGCCCCCAAACCCATTTTTAAAGGCATAAACCCTCTACGTAGCCCTGCTTTTAAAAATGCAAGTGTGACTGCAACAATGTCACATCACATTTGTTCAAACTTGACTTTGGGAAACTGACAGTCATGACAATCAAAGTCATGGTTCAAACATACATACGTTTTGGTGAGGCAAACAGAGATATTCTTCACATGGATTTAAGATAAAAAAAGCTTCACTTATCCTGAGGGAAACTGCTGTGCAACACTTGCGATACAGGTTGAAAATAAATAAATGCAACTAAGCTAGTGAACAATTGTTTTAAGTGACCAGTGCAAAGTTATAGCAGCATGATCAGTGTTTCCCGAATATGGTGCTCAAAGCACACTGTCCAGCATATTTTCTCTGCTTCAGAAAACCTAATTCACATAATCGAGTCAGCTGAAGGATGACGGGGACCCACTGCTTTGAATCAGGTGTGTGGAAGAAGGAAAACCATTTCCTTTTAAACAGACAAAATAAACGGTACAAATACCATGGGTTAGATCAAATCTGAATATCATAAATAATTTATTAGTAGTTAATGTGTTATATAAGTAAAGAAATTGAGAAAAACCCAATTTAGATCAAACCAAATTAAACATCACACTTAACAATATTAAATTAAACAAGAAACTGAGGAAATAAATGGCGTATCATTTCAAAATCCATATGTATACATTCATTAGATTTTTAAACTGGAGTGAAATGAGTTCCGGCTGAGCAGTTATGCTGCACACATGCTGCAAACTGACAAAGTTACCCACTACACCTTTTTTCACATCAGACTAAAACGCTGAATGTTTTATAGCAAAAGTTACCAAAAGAGAAAAAACAGTACGAAACAAATCAAACTGGAGATGTGTTCCATCCAATGTATTTCCTCAAAAAGATTTAGCCTGACCAAAGCCGTGGAGAAAGCGAGTGAGAAACTGGGTGGAATGTGGAAGTTTTTAAAGGCACACAAGGACACCGCATTACAAGGCCTGTACGCTCTTCCCTCTGGAGAAAAACTAATGGAGCCGCACTGGAAAAGTGCTCCAGGTGTCAGGGGGTGCACTACAATGACCAGCCATAGTGTGTTTAGTGGTGGAGTCAGTCCCGGTTAGTTGGAATCTACCTTGACGAGATAAGCCAATTGCTCTTTAAACCTACTTTCCTGGCATCTGTGTCAGAGTGACATCATTTGAAAAATACACTCTGTGCTGGGGTCTCTGCATGGATGAGCTCAGCTCTGGGTTTCTCTGGTGAGGTCTTCAAGTTTGTACTTGTTGGGTTTATTGGTTTGTGTTTGACATCCTAAGATTGCCAACTATGCATCTACGTGACTATCCAATGAGGTCAGGTGATCCAGAAAGAGCATTTATATAACACTGTCACCTCCATGCGTGGGTGCCTCTCACATGTGGGTTCTGTCATGTGTGCTTTCAGATGGCAGTCTTTCCCTTCATCCCTTTACTGTCTCTGAGCTGCAGAGCCACCAGGTTCCAGGACCAGATCTGCTGATCCAGACAACCTGGAACCAAACTTCCTGTAACTGGAAGTTAATTCCACTGCACGTCCACTTATCTTTTCAACCTGTCGTTGGCCAATAAATTCCCCAAATGATCTGCATTTGTCATCCTGGTACTCAAATGAGGAGATCCAGCAGAATGAAATGGCCTTCATCCAATCTCTAAACTGTGTCCTGGCTAGAGTACAGGACTCAGCAGCAGGCAGCTTCAGGACGCCCTCAGAGCATCGTATCTGCCTTTCATTCAGGCTCCGGGAAATACCAGAGCACAACCGCAGCAGGCCTGAAAGTGATACATGACCTTCTTGAATTTCTGAAAGAACAACGCTGTGCAGGTCTTTTCATTGATCTGACACTGTGGGCACATAGTACTACACACAGGCTGGCCAATATTGGTCTTAGAGTAAGCTGTTAACAGCTACAGTAACCATCTCGCCAACAGAACTCTGTGTTCTGGTTTAACTTACAAATCAGTTCAAATAAAGGTGTACCTCAGGGCTCAGTTCGTGGTCAACTGCTTTTCACTCCACATATAATTGAGGCTACGTTCACACTGCAGCCTAAAGGAACCCAAATCAGATTTTTTGTGAAATCCAAATTTTTGGGGGCGCAGCCATCCATATTTTCAAATACATGTGATATTGAGAGTTTACTGCAAACAAACCTAACTGTGTCCTGTATGCAGAGCAGAGGATGTAATAGCATCACATTTAGACAGCATGCTCTGTGTTTAGAGTCCAGCTCTTCATGAAATGGATAGGTGACACGTCCAAGGAAGCTTGGTTTGTTTGGGTCTTTATTCTCCTTATATTTGTCCTGGGAGCTCTTTTTTTTCCCCCTTTGCCATTTTTTATACTCATGCTCAGCCATTTCTTGGGAAATGCTAATAAAAATAATAGCCCTCTTCGAGAGTCTGGTCTGGATAGAGCTGTCCCCCCAAACACTAAACTTAAAAACGAACCTTTCTGTCCACTGACTGAGGGCTGCTGTTTTTCTTTGGCGTAGCAGGAGGTAGAACAGATCTCGGATCAGTGTGACCTGTGTACAGACTCAGGTCCCACCTGAAAAGACTGGACACGTATGGGGTTTAGAGGCACATCAGTGGCCGGGGTCACATGGGAAAAATCCCATCTGTGTTTTTTCCAGTGTCATGAAAAGATCAGATACAGGTGACATTAGGGCCAGAAGGTCAGATGTGGGTCACTTTAGGCTGCAGAGAGAACACAGCCAAACATTCACCAATATGCACCTTATGCCAATTTTCACCTTTATAAGAAGACACAGTTAAGAACTGTACAGCAGCATCACCATAAAGCTCCAAATAACTCTTGGAGTTGGTCTTATCATCTGAGAAGTTGTCTGATAGAGTCCAGTTTGTTCATCAAATGAAGAATCTTCCTCCCACAGCAAACTAAGTCATGGAGTTCCTCAGAGCTCTGTTCTTGGATTGGTCCTTTCCCTTTACACCTGCCTGCATTATGTCATATTAGACAGCATGGAACACATTTATACTGTTAGGCTGATGATACAGTCCTAGCTATGTGTGAAACTAATCTGTTGTTAAACTTCACGCATGCACTAAAGTAACAAAAATCTGGACGATTGCAATTCTCTGCATCTAAGTTCAAACAAGAAAAAGCTGTTCTTTAGACCTGAGAATCTAAGTGACGGACTGTCCAGTAAAAAAAGTTATTTCTGCCCAGAAACTGTCCTTAACCTTCATATTAAAAATATTTCTTCAACCGGCTTCTTTCCACTTCGTAATATCTACAAAATGAGGAACATCCTGTAAGAGTAGAGCAGAAAAACTGCTCCACTCTCCCCCCCCCCTTGCAGACCTTCGTCTCCGATAAGCAGAGGCTGGTTTATCTAAATCCACATGTCCTGTACAGGACAAGGCAAAGTGCTTTACATAAAAGACTCCAAAAGAAAAATGCATTTAAAAGTGAGATGAATAGAATAATAAAAAGTAAGACCAGGCTTATAGTTATGGGCCAGTTGGGCGTCCTTCTTGGTTCTGGTTCTGATGAGGGTGTTTTTTCCTCCCACAGTCCTGCGGGTCCGGACAGAGAACTGGACTGAAGGGAACTTGAAGATTCCATCTTTGACGTGCCTTCAGACAACGTTGTTGTTATTTGGGACTAAATAAAAAACTTAATTTAATGGATCATCAGAAACTTCTTAGAGGCAAATCAGAAGTCTGTCTGCTTAGGATGCCTTTTAAACCCAGAATATGTTGTCATTTCTGAAAATAACTAATACTTGAGTGACCACACCAGAAAAAATTGAACACGTGTGACCTGGCCTTCATAAAACACACGCAGACTGACCAGACCTCCGGTCAAACGGTAACTGCCACCGGAACAGCCCCGGTGGGCGGTGTCACCACAGCTCCGGGGGGGGTGAGCGGTGTCAACACGCCGCCGGACTCTGCCCTCTTACCTCCGAACAGATGGGGCGAGAGGTGTGCTGGGAGGGAGCCTATCAGCGGCCGGGGGGCCTCGCCCCCCCCGCCGGGGCGCCCTCCGCCCGCCGCCTCCTCCGGGCTGCTGCCACCGGACTCCGGGGAGCTGTGGGCTCCGCCGCGGTGGGGGATGTTGATGCCGGCCGGGGGTCTGGCCCCGGAGCCCCCCGCGGACCCCCCCCCGGACCGGGCCCTGGCCTCCAGCGGCTGGCTGCCGGACGTGGAGGCTCTGGACGCGCCGGGCGCGTGGAGCCTCGCGCCGCCGCCGGCGGTCCGGTGCACGCTCCCGCCGTTGCTGTCGGCCGTGGCGGAGGGCAGGTCCGAGCCGGAGTAAGCTCTGGTCCGGCCATTAGCGGCTGGATTAGCGGGCGGGCTGCTCTGCTTTGCCCCCATGTTAACCTCCGCCTAATCGCCTGATATCAGAGGCAGCCCTCCAGCCCCGGCGGGACGGGGCGCCAGATTTCCGCGCGAGGCAGATGGCTTACCAGGGCACGCGCCCTCAGAGAGCACACAGCGCCACCAGCTCAGCGTCACTCTGGTCCGGTCCCGACGGGCACGCTATCAGTCCGTGGAAAGTGCAGTCGGCCATCTGCGAGCGCGGCTGGAGATGAGTGGAAAACTTTAGACGTCGTCTCCATTATTCCGCACGCGCCGCAGGCAGCGCGCGCCGCTTCCCCTGCTCGTGTGCTCCGCCGCGCGCCGGCGGGCTGCTCAGCGGGGGGCCGGGGTCCTCGCGCCTCCCCGGCCCGCGACACATCGCTCAGAAGGAGGAAGTGATGGAGTCTGAGAGGTGCACGGTGCGTGTGACCGGCGGCAGCAAGGAGACTCGGTGTGAAGGAGAACCGTCAAGCGCGCGCCGCCCGGCGGGACTTCCGCTCTGACGCTTCAAAATAAGCTCCGCACGCAGCGTGCGCGTGCGAGGGGCTCAGCTGGCAGACGCAGGGAACAAAATAAACACCATAGCATAGAAAAAAACAGATACAATTTTACGGTCCATTCAGTATTTACATGATCTTTTTCAGTAACTCTGCCATAAGACAATCCAAGTAAACATTCATTTCCAAGCATCCACAAAGGGATATTTTAGCCCCTCTCCTTACTTTAGGAGTGTAAAACAAAACGCTCAAGATAAATTAGTCAAACTGGGCTATGACTAACAAAAAAAGCATTGCAATCCTTGTTTGCGGAAAATTAAAGATGTTCCAACAGGCACCACAAAAGAGGAGCTGCATCTGGTAAAGGGCTGTTTGAAATGTGGTACGATAGACCAAACAAAACTGGACCCTCAGTGGGCATGTACACGTGCTATATACGTCTAAAGATGGTGCTTTAACATCGTTTCCTGCTTTCACTTGCTTTGTGAGTAAAAGGTGTAGCTACTCCTCTCCCTCCTTTAGTGGAACATGTAACAGTCTTCTGTGCTTTTGGAGGTAAGGTTGCTGGAATTGGAAGTTTAGTTCTGAAATGATGGACAAACAACAAACAGCCAGTCAGTTCCTTCAGCTGGTGCAGGTGACCGGAGCCCAGAGGCCCGGGCTGGAGAGGGATGGTCTGTCAGGAGGCATGGCCTGATGTAAAGCCTGTGCTTCACCACCAACATGTGTTTCCAATCAATTTCCCCCACTCAGCGACACATCCACTCAATAAAAAACAGTAATTGGCAGCTCCATAATCAGACACATGGCATTAGAGACAACAGCAGCTATGGTCATTGGCAGCGGCCCACCCCGTCTATTGTCAGGAGACAAGTTTCATACCCCTTGTTTTTGGCCCAGAGGCTCTTTTTTTTCTCTTCGGCATTGCAGCCAAATAAAGGCTGTGGCTCAGGAGGAAAGAGCAGTTGCCCACTGACTGGAGGGTCAGTGGCTCAACTCCATGTTCCTCCAGACCACATGTCTAAGAGCTCTTGGGCAAGTTGCCTACTGGTTGCGTGTTTGAGTGGAAGAGCACTATATAAGTGCATGTAGATTTACAGCCAGGAAAGCTTCTACCCATGCTCAGCCATTTCTTGTGAAATGCTAAATGAAAAAATCCTCCGGTGATGAGAACTTGAAGTTTAGTCTGGATAGAGCTAGCAAACACTAATTAGGTCAGAAACCGCTATCTGTCCACTGCCTGTGCTCCACATCATGACCCCCCACCGTTACAGCTTTTCTCTGGCGCAGCAGGAGGCAGAACAGTGGTGTTTGTGGGGGATCGGATCAGTGTGACCTGTGTACAGACTCAGGTCCCACCTGAAAAGACTGGACACGTATGGGGTTTAGAGGCACATCAGTGGCCGGGGTCACATGGGAAAGTCCCATCTGTGTTGTTCCCAGCTGTCACACCCCACAGACTGTGTGGTGTGTCCTGCAGTGATGTTCCTCATGTCAGACACGCCGGGCCCCCGCCTGCACCCTCTGAAGGCCGTCACCGTCTGACCACTGTTGGGTCCAGGGGGAGGAGGCCTCCCGGCTTTTTCTCTGACGACTGGACGATTCAGATACCAATCGCTTTCTTGCATGCTTTTCCCATTTAGCATTTTTCTTTCTTACATTCCCGCTTCAGTCTTTCAAAAATGGTTTTAATAAAGATAATAAAGATGATAAAAATTAATAACTAAAAAAAGATAAGAAATTGCCCTAAAACTGAAGGAAGACCATTTTCAATAATTAATGTGTATCCATTAGGGGAATTAATCAGGCTCCATTTTAGATTAGATTATAATAACTGTACCTTTTGTTTAAAGTCAATTTCACCTCACCTCTCATAACATTGCTGATGATACCCATCACTAAGCGAATCGGCCAATATCCATTATAGGCCAATTTTCCTCTGTTGGAATTACTACAGCACCTGGAATATAAAGATAGAGATATAATAAGGAAAGAAACAATGTATATACACATTTTAGAACAAAAAAAAGGATATGCTGCCAGGCCACTGTGGAAACAATAACTTCACTATTAAACACAATTTCTACAGAATAATGTCTGAGCCAGGCCTGCAGAGATGAAGCCGGTCTATCAGAATAATATATATATATATCTATCTATCTATCATTTGCCCAAGCCAGTGTCCTAGGAAAAGTGGAGCAGTAGACTTCCAGTTCACCGTGATGGGAAATCCCCCAGTTGGGAATGAAATTCCTTTCTGATCCAGACACAAGTATCAGTGACAAAATGTCAGGATTCATGAAGAAAGAATTCTAATAATACGTTTCCTACTCTTGTGAGCAGCTCCACAATCCTAGAGTGAGGTTCGGCCGTGGCTGAGTCCAGGCGTGTCCTGTCGGATAAGAGCATCTCCCAGCATGAAGGAACTTTTTAAAGCAGGGGGGGCTGCAGGCTCTCAGAGGACCAGCGTGATCTGGACAGAAAAGAAAAAAAAATCATGAAAGGGAATGGAATGGGTTCCTATAAAAATAAGGACAATCTGGTCAATAAGAGCTTGGAGGTGTGTTCCTTTAAAGCCCACTGTTTCTGGAACCACAAAGATGAGACATCTGTGATTAACAGAGGTGAGAAGAGGATCAGGCCAGTGTTACTGAGAGCTGGCATGTGTTCATGGGGCAGAGAGGAATGGAAAATGTGACCAGTGGTCAAAGGCCACTCTCTATTGACCAGGACGAACAAATAGAAAAAAAAGCTTTCAAAGATGCACCACTCGCCTGAAGCTTCAACCAGAAAAAATCCAAAAGAGCCAATGATCAGCAGCACATGTCCAGAGAGAGCATGTTACCGGCTCATGTGGGGAATGGGAAGTAGCATCAAAACCTGTTTGTTTACCAGCTTACACAAACTAACACCATCTGACCTTTATAATATTATTTGACAATATTCATAAATATAATGTATTTTTATTTCTGTATATCTAATTTCAAAAGAACTGCTTGATTTCTGGGTCTCCTTTAAGAGGAAATAATTATTCTATTGATAGAAAATAATCCTGGACAAGCCCCCCATTTAGGCTACAACCAGCTGGTATGGAGAAAGGGAAGTAACATAAAATAAAACTATTCTTTTAAGGTAAGTAAGTTATTAACAGATGTGAAGATTCAATGATGAACACAAAAGTGAGGCTATTAAAGATTGAAATAGTGGTGGTTAAAGTTGAAAATGTGAGCGCACTCAAACTCTGTTGTCACTAACAAAGAATCTAGTGGTGTGTTTAAAACCAAAAGCGAGTGCCTGTGCTCAGTTACAGATTTACAGAGTTTGACATGGATCTCACGGAGGAATGTGAGCAGGGCTGGTTCCAGCCTGCCCACTGGTTCTGGTCTGCTGGGTTCTTCTGTTCCTCGGGTGGCTCTTCCTGATTGGTGGACTGATGCACCTCCTGCACCAGCAGCCTCTTCCAGGGCAGGTGGATGGGATCAGTTCAGTCTGCTGCTGCAGGGCAAGAGAGAAATGGTCCACACACACACACTTACACACACACACACCCAACGCTCACACCTTAAAAAGTCGCTATGTTCTTACTGGAGGTCAGCAGGTCTTATTGCTCATTTCTACTAGATGCATATATCTTGCTTCAGAAACATAATACAATCATAAGGAGCAGCCATTTTTCTCATTTAGTTAAATGTATTATGTTCTTGGATGCACCCCAGTGTACCAGTACTCTAAATATAGTCATTTTTATCATCACCCTTTTTCTCTCTCAACACTAGCACTCCCTCTGGCCCTGTTTCACTCTGTTGCATGCAGCTTATCCTGCAGCCTACACTGCAAATGCTGCTCTAAGACATGATGGAATCTTATTGGGCTCATAATAGATGCACAAAGGGTGCAATTCTGCACCAAAAAGCCAATCAACACACAAAACAACTGCCACAACACTAAGGCCAAGTTCAGACTGCATGTCGAATGAAACGCAAATCCAGTTTCATTTGACTTTTCCCAGGACAGTTAGAATGCACAACTTGCATGTAATCTGATTTTTCAATTTCCTCTGCAACACGAGGGAAACCAGATATGGAAACAGTTAACTCTATAGTCTGATGGCGGCTGTCTTTATTTCATAATATAAGCAGTACCATCTAAAAGTAAGGTCCAAAGATGGAGGAGACTGTGGACATGAATACCGGGGTATACGAGGGAGAATAAGATGAGTGGAGACTGCAAGAAAAGCAGCAGGTATCCAGAAGGAAGATGGGTCCACAGCAGTAGTTTGTCATAGAGATATTGAGCAGTGATAAACACTCCACTAACAGCAGTTGTTTCTCAGAACAGACAGAGAGACTGAGCCTGTGACGAAAGCACTCATAATCCACTTCAGAGAAACTCACTCACGTCCAGAACAGTCTTCATCAGAGTAACTTGCTCCCAAACAGACAGCACTCCAATTTAGGAGAGAAAAGACAGATCATGGTACATGAACTATTCTGGAGTGTGTTTCAACAAGTGGGTGAG